AGTAGGTTAATCAAAAGTTACAAAACAAAGATGACTTTGATTCTAGTGTTTTGGTGAATGATTCCTATTTCAATCAAAAATTTCACCTGGACTTTTCAGATTTGGTTTTTATCCTATTTCCAATTCAAATAAAGGCAAAGCTGAAATTTTCACTCCTATTCATTGTCTTCAAAAATGACAAAAGCGTTACTTTTTCATAAAGTTTTTTATTTCTGGAAGTCCATTTCTTTTGGAAAAAAACCTCCCCACCTTTTGAACAACTTTAAAAAGTCCCTCCCTGAATTAGCTTGTAATCGATTTGAACCATGAAGTCTGGGATGGGATGACATTCATTGTTAACTTATTTTTGCAGTACTTAATGTGCTGTTATGAAATTAGGTAGCTCTTGAAAAATCTAGTGAAAGCACTGTCAATATGTACATGTGACCCTCGCCATTTGCGGGGGATACATTCTTGTATCCCCCATGAATGGTGAAATCCGTGAATAAGGCACTGCATTCATGAACAGCAGTTCCCTAGCTCCGGCGGGAGCGTGGCAGCGGAATCCCAGCAGCGGCAAGCATGGAGCTCCCGAGAAGCTCCTGGTTAAGTGTATAAAGTGTATTTAAAATGCAGGTTCAGCATTCACGAATATTTGAAACCGCGAATGCCGAACCCGTGAATAGCGAGGGTTTCCTGTATACTGGATTTTTAATGGACTTAAGTGCTTACAATTCTTCCTTTTAGGTATTTTGTACTTCATAAACAAATTGTTTATTACTGTGTCATAAATCATACCTGTAATTCAGTGATTCTCAATCTGGGTGTCAGAACCCAGCCCACTGCCCAGCCCCTCTGCAAGCACAGTAATAAAGTTTTTGAAATGAGATCCTGCTCAATTCACAAAAGTTGAGGAGGGGTGCCTTGGGACAAACAAGTTTGAGAAACACTGTTGTTGCATGCATCATTTCAAAGTCATTATGAAATCATTTGTAAAAAAATATATTTGGGGAGGAAGGAGTTAATCCTAACAGAGATGGTTGCAGAGGGCATGGAAAAGGCCTGAGTTTGGGAGAGGATTATTTAGGGACAGAGCCTATGAGAGGGGTGTGTTATGAAATCCACAGTGGTAGCTGGATGTGGGAGTACAGGAAAATTGTCCTTGTGCCTTGAATGGGAAACTAGGGGACCGGTAGAAGTCTGAGTTTAGATAGGAAGAGGAATTACAAGAGGTGATTTATAAAAGGAGGGCATGTGGGACCTGGCAGTGGCTAAGCACAGAGGGACAAGCTTGCATTCCATTTCACCACAGCACTGGGGCCAATCCCACATGAACCCATGCATGCCATCAGGCACTTTGCACGTATGAATGCATATACTCATCCCCATGCAAAAACACACTACCATATATACACTTCTTGTACACAGACTGTGAAAACACACACACAGGCACCAGCTCTCTCAAGTTGCCAATCTCCCTGCTAATCAGGAAGGTTTAACTTTCCGCTGGAGCTCTGGTCCCCTCTGCACCGAGTCTGAATTCCAACACCCAGGCAAGCAAAATAATTTAATAACTGCAGGCCAATCACAGGTCCAGCACACAACAGCATACAACACATGTTCATTTCAGGAGAGATGAGGTTTAGAAAGACACAAAAGTTTTTTTTTAATCAGAAATGTAACTTTTATTCTGGCTAGAGAAGTCAAGAGATTAACAGGTTTCCTTTCATCACAGTGCTGTGGGAGTGTTCAGTGCACTTGCTGCTCTGCAGTGCTTGTGTTCTTGGCAGCTGTACCCCAAGGAAGTGTTTTTTTTACATACTAAAATAAAGATAGAGTCTTCTAACATTGCTGATAGTTTGTTCAGGCCGGAGCACTTGTACTGAACATGCAGGGCCACACAGGCCAGCAGAGGCTATTCATCAGCCCTCAGCTTATTCCATGTCCACTCCCATCGATTCTCCTGCCAGCAGGACTAGAATAGGAGGTAACTCCTGCGGATCCAGAAGAGGAAGCAGTACGCAGCATGATTTCTTTCTCTTGCCGCTGCTGGCCCACCTCTAGCACTGGGGTCCTAAAGATTCAGAGAATGGTTCTGTAATAGATATCCTATGTTGTTGCTGCCTTCTCGTTGTCTCCTGCATCTGCATGAATATTGCCTACCCTATA